AATGGGGTCTAGATTCTTGAAATTGAAGCAGCATAAACCGTGATTTACGTAGAATGTTTAAAACTATTATTAGATTATGGAAGCAGGGAAATTGCCGAAGCCGAGCAAAACTAATGCACGTAATATGAATATAGTCAATGAGCCAACTTAGGCTGGAAAACCTTCGGCACAATACACAGTCCCATGATGTCTAAAGGGCGATGTATTCGTTCTGTCTTTCGTGCACTTTATGTTAGAAGTTTCAGTTCAAAATTTAATTTTTAATTAAAACTCTCAGTTCTTTCACTTTATTTCCCCTAACTTACACAACATATTTTGACCTACACGGTCAACATTAAAACTTCTAATATAAGTTGCATGAAAGATCGAGGCGAATACTTGGGAAAGAAACAGAACGCAACGGGATGCTGAAACACAATATTATTCCCTTATCCTTTTTCTTGTGGTCCACGTGGTGGTGATTCTCTGCAAAGGTAATATTCCGTGAAGGCCCTTAGAGTTGTGAGACGTCGAGCCTTACACATTTATTGGACAATCAGCTCACAGATGGCGCTTAGGTTGTCAGCATTACGCGCCGACCGCCCTTTACCCCCATGAAGATTCCTTTTACCCACTTCTGTTAGAGGCTGAGTCGATCCCAGGGCCACAATGCGGCTGAAAGAATTAGGCAAATTGAAAAATCCACTGACCTCATCGGGAGTCGAACCAGCGACCTTCCGGTTTTCAGCATAAGTGCCTCAACCAACTATGCTACCCCGTTCATAGGTGAATCTATTTATTACCTGCTATAAAAACTATGAAACGGGAAGGGAACAGACACAAAGTGAGGACAGATAGTTTATGATCAAGACGTACCTCTTATTCATTAAGGAGTTTAATGCCTTCCATGTCGTTGATTGAAGAGATACCATCAGTTCTCCTGTTAGTTCATCTACTTGCTGTATTTGCTCCTCTTAGGAACTCATGAATGTCTGGCGTTACTCAATTTTCCCCGCGCCCTCCAAACCCGTAGTTCACGCAGAGTGAAGCTCCCACATTTTATGGCTGCGTGCACTTTCACCTGGCTCCATATATGTGCCACATAATTGTGTTACTTGACGCACTCTCTTCGGAATCACCAGTGTTCCTCCTGATTTATCCTTCAAGCGTTGTCTCTATAAATAGTGGTGTTGGATAAGCCGGTTACTTCCGAAATCATATTTGTTACGTCTTCTAAAGCCACTTCCGGGTTCTCAGCATGAAACGTGCTGCAGACGTTCAGCACACAAACTTTATAACAATTACCTCAGGGTTCGCGGTTTTTGTTTCTCACAACACCTCCTCCCACCACAGAAAAATTATTAACCCTCCCAGTCTATATACACTGTTACACAAACTTATGCCCCACATACATTTACCAATACTCTTTTTTTGTTTCGTGAGGTGGGGTGAGACACTCCATTTTGTACATCGGCCACTGACTGGTTTATTGTAGTAGCCTCAGATGATAACTGAATAAGGACAATTTGGTGGAATGATAAGTGACAGGGGAAAAGTAAGTATTCGGAGAAAACCTGCCCCAGGGCACTTTGTCCATCACAAATCCCACAAGATATGATTTGCGATCTAACGCGGGTCACCGCCTGAGCTATGGCACGGCCTGTAACCAAAACTCCTTACAGAAAAACGAAAGGCAGAACAACGCGTTACGAGCACATGTTGGTCGAAATGATTTAAACCATTGTCTGCAGAACAGTCTTTACCGCACTCAGCGCGAACCTTCAGCATTCCAGTAAGCAGCCCTTCAACCTGATACTTCAAAATAAGGGAAGAGAAATCAGACCAAAGAGAACTATTTTTAGTTTATGTTTATTCCCGTACTTCACCGAACGAATCTACACAAAGACACATTTCTTACTACCTGCATAATATATTTAAAAAATAAAAACTGCATATGCGTTGT